CAAGCATGATGCTCTTCTCCAGAGACTGGCCCCTCCCCATAACCTGCACAAAGTACAGATGAAGCCTCTCCGTCCTCACTTCTGTATCTGCCTGCACTTTTTCTAAGGCAGATTTTTATTTGTTCTTTCAGAAGTTCATGGCGTTTTCATTATTCTCTAACACCACAATTCAAAGGCATCACTTCTTTTTTTCCTTATCCATTGTCCAACTTTCCCATTTATATTAGGAAATTGAAAATATCATAGCAGAGTCAGGTACACCTTAGTCTTTAAACTGGCATCCTTCCTCTTTAGCATTTTGGAGAAGCCCTTGGCAACAGATTTCCCCCATGCAGTGCATATTTTGATTATTGACTGCTGCTTCATGGTTGTTGATAATAGGTACATGCACTCTTTTCTCCCTCTATCATGATGTTGCCTGTTGGTCCAGTGGTGAGGATTTTTGTTTCTTTTCTCTTCCTCATCTTACTGTTGTGCTGTCAAGCCAACAGTTTCATAGTGAAAACACAGCAGAAGGACCCTCTTCCCTATCCTGTGACAGCCTCAAAATCACATTCACCAAGGTGGCATCAGTAAGACATCACAACAAATACTACAGGATGTGGAGGTCCTCAAATGCAGATACTGTTGGAGAAGCTCAAGGTGAGCACTGACAACGAGCTAGAGTAAGAAAAATCAAAAGGAAAGAACTCAATCGGCTTTTCTCAAGCTGAGATAACTGATGAATAAATTCAAATCTCAAGTTTTAGTCTTAAAGGATGCCATAGGAAAAACCTTGTATGATCCAGGAAACACCAAAAGAAGTAGGAAGAAACACACAGTCACTGCACCAGAAAGAACTGATCAGCATTGAGCCATTTCAGGAAGTGCCACATGATCAAGAATCGATACTACAGAAGGAAGACATTCAAGCTGCACTGAAGGCTTTGGCAAAAAATAGGCCCCAGGAATGGATAGGATGTTCATTGACATATTCTGACAAATAGATGCAGCCCTGGCCATGCTCACCAGCTTGTGCCAAGAGTTCTAGAGGACAGCTACCTGTTTAACTGCCTGGAAGAGATCAATGTTTGTTTCCATTCCCACAAAAAGGTGACCCACCAGAATGTGGAAATTGTCAAACAATATCATTAATCTCACATGCAAGTAAGATATTGAAGATCATTAAAAAAAATTAACAACTGCCAGAAACTCAAGGCA